TTAAGTTGTTGCTAAATCAAGTAATAAATAAATACACAAATAGCAGCCAATATCTTGGATTTGACTTACTATTTTGCGGTTGGTCTAATATCATATGAGTAGGTCGGATTGGGTAGGTTTGGATTGGATAGGTTCAAATTGAGTCATTTCAGATCTTGAGTTGTTTGGATTGGATCATTTCAGGTGTCAGGTTAAAGAGGTTGACCCATGACCCATCCACACAGGTCTCGGATTGGGTCAGGTGAACCCAATTTTAAAAAATTAAAATTAAAATTAAAACTTTTTTATATTTTTGTCTATTTTTCTTTAACAAAATATAATACTAATTAACTATTTAGTTAAAAAACTTTATTACTAATTAACTATTTAGTTAGAAAACTTTATTAAATGTTAATTTCCATTTTATAATTCAATTTTTTTCCAATCTCAAGAAAAGAAAAGGAAAAAATTAGTAATTATATAGATGGAAAGGAAATATATGTCAAATTTATAATACATATACAATATTTAGAATTCATAATTTTATAAAAGTATTAATTTTCATTAAAAGAAAAGACACGAAGGATTAAAGTTTAGAAGACAAATCCAATATATATGTATATTAATATCTATTGCTTTTTTAATATTTATAAGAGTATTATACAAAAAAATACAGTTCTATTTAATATTTAGGAGGGCATTATACAAAAATATAGTCCTATTCAATATTAAAGTTTAAAAGACAAATCCAAAATATGTCTAACCATATACAAGAAGAAATTGGATCAGACTTGATTTTTATTAATTAGAAATAAATTATTAATTAAGAATAAATTAGCAACTAAGAACGGACCTCAATGTTTTTGATATTCTTGTCCTTGTACTTTTAATGGTTATGAAGGTACTTCAACCACTATGTTTTGATTTTCAGTATGTATTTTTGCTTTTTATTTTTAAAAAATAATATTTTTACGATATCATATGATATAACTCATTATGTGCCACATAATCTAATTTTTTATGCAAGTGCCACCAAAGAAAATGATTAGAGAGCTTGAGATGAATAAAGGGAGAGCGAGAGTGGAGAAGAGGAAAAGTTGAGAGAAAGTGAAATGGATAAGAGATTAGGGTTTGAGTATTTTATTTATTTCCACTTTTAGACTTAGGAAATTAGAAATTTAAAAATAATTTTTAAGTAATCTAATAAAAAATGAATAGAAAAAAAATCATGTATGCCATTCCCTATGTAAGATATCATTAGCCATAAATATATGCGGTTATGAAGTTTTTGTATGCATTACTCAATAGAGATAAAGTAATGTATGGCATCACCTTGTTGGTGGCTTGCAATTGTAATACAGGACAGCATATATTCAAGATAAAAATATATATATATTTTGTATGCATTACTCAATAGAGATAAAGTAATGTATGGCATTCTCAATTTTTGGACTCAACTTGTAGAATTTATAGCTGTTGGTGCTTGTATATATTCAAGAAAAATCAAAATCTTCTATTTTGCTTACACAAGGTGGCATACGTTTCAATTTTACTTTACATACTACATTGCCTTAAAATTGTTGTTCCACTAACATTCTTCTTCATTTTCGCATCATGTCATTATTGTGTCTCAATTACAAAATCAAATAAGCACTATAATTAATGAACTTATCAAAAAATATTAATAATTAAATATCACTGAAATAAGTGTGAAAAACTGATTTTAAGATAAAAATAAATCGATCGATACAACAGAGATATACATAGTACATCCCTCTCAAGATGCTATAGCTTTATAATAATATTTTACAAATCTATACTAGCAATAGAATTATCTATTTATAGAACTCTTAGTCTTGTAACTCCCATCTATAAGTTAATTGTAGAAATAAATCAAACAATTATTATAAAATAATGTGTTCTTAAATAAGGCAATTAATCTACAATAGTTAATTTAATCAAATCCTTAATAGAACAATAAATTTAATTTATAAAACATAACATTTTATTTTTTATTAAAATATTTGAATTCTAACAATAGACAACCACAAAACTTGCCATTCTAGATGCATTGGTGTACTGCAACAAACTTCCATGGA